TGGACCGGCCCCTATAAGAAAGTGAACCAGCCTGGACCGGTTAATTAGGACCCACGGGCCAAGAGTTAACGAGTTTTGGTCCGGGTCGGGTCGACCCATTTAACAGGTCTAGTATGTGTGTGTGTCTGTGTATACACACACATGACATTTCTCATCATAATTCAAAAAAGGTTTTGTCATCTCAAATTCAAATAAGTCTTGTCTTTCTTATTACATTATTCATACGTAGAATTGTTACATTGTGATGTAATTTTTATTAGCTTGCCCTGTAATTTCTTGTTATGCATTATTATTTTTTGACATTATACAGATAAAACAGATTTTTCTTACTACAAAAATTTAAGTGTTCATAATTTTTACAATTTAAGTTTATCAATAATATTTTGAGTATTATTTTGTTACTTTATTTCATTTTTAAATCGAGTCAAAGTAGAATATCCTCATACTATTTTTGTCCACCTTTTTGTACATTTTTGGTGATATTTTAATTATTTTTTCCCATTAGAATTCTTCTGTAGTCAAAATAATGTAATATTTAATACTAACAAATTGGTCCAAAGTATAAACCGAAGTTCTGTTTGTTTGATATAAATCTATCATTTTTTTAATACTTGACAATTTTTAATTGTATTCCATAGCAATTAAATTATTCTTCTCTTTTAGCATTAATATAAAATATTGAATAATATTAATATTATCATATTAAACAATCTCTTAAAATTGTAATTTTTTGCTTTGGATTTTTTCATTGCCTAATATTTTTGGTTTTTGACTTTATCTATTAAAATTTGAGTTACGTGCTATAATACAAATGTATAATTTTCTCGTCATAACTCAAAAATATTTTCTGATTTCAAATTCAAATAAATCGTATTATTTAATTTATATTTTACACCTATTTTTTCACCTTTTGTTCCATATTTATCGTTATTGTTTTATTTGTTGCTCAGTATCTTTGCACTGCCGAGTTACAAAAAATCTTGTCTTTTAATTCTACCAGTACTAACAGTCTTAAATTCTTTAAAATAATTTCTTTTAATTTAAATTAGATGAAATCACATAACACGGTAAATAAAATTTTGAAAAGATATTATAAGGAGCATGTTTTTTTAAACAATGTATGTTTGAAAATTCAAATTACGCGAAAAGATTATTTATCACCTACCTTGTTTTAATGTGAATATATATATATATATATATATATATA